ATGATAGACATCATCTAAGCAGCTGTAAACCAGTTGATGCTTATTTTCACTTCGCATGATGTGAACGCATAATAACATAGATTTTAAGCGTGAATTAAGTGCGAAAAATTGCTAAAGTATTCTTTCAATTGAGCATTAAAATTTAGATTTCCAATTAGCAAAGCTTTACATCTAACAGTCTACGCAAATACATCGCTATCAGCTGAATCAAAAACGCAAATGCGGCAATAATTTGCTAATCATTTTAGAGTGGAGATAAGACAAGTATCTCGCTGACTCTTTTACTATAACAAGCATAAAGCAAACAAGGCGGACAGTTGTGTTCTAAATTTTAAACCGCACAGAACGTCGTGTATTCGAACGCGTTTCGTTTACGAATTTACGCCGGGCCAAGGCACTTATTCGCATATAGACTGCGCAATGGCCCAACAATTGTGGGGTGGACGTTTCGGTGATGCCGAGGGCAAAACGAATGAATGCTTAGCCAAATTAAACTGCAGTCTGCCATTGGATTCGCGTTTCTATGGCGAGGATATTGACGGCAGTATTGCCTACGCCGAAGCCTTGGCGCGTGCCGGTTTAATTACCGATAAGGATGCTGCCAATATTGGTGCTGCGCTCGAAGTGGTGCGTCGCGAATGGACGGACGGTAGCATTGAGTTTCTCAGCAGCGATGAGGATGTACACACGGTGAATGAACGTCGTCTCACCGAACTGATTGGTGATGTTGGCAAGCGCCTGCACACCGGACGTAGTCGTAATGATCAAGTGATCACCGATATGAAATTGTGGTTACGTCGTGGCATACGTGAGACCTTAGTCGGTCTGCTTGCGGTCATCGAGGCGTCTGTCGTGCAGGCGAAGAAGAATTTGGGTGCGCTTATGCCGGGCTATACGCATTTGCAACGCGCACAGCCCGTTCAGTTTTCACATTGGATGCTCTCGCATGCGTTTGCGTTGCAAGCGGATTGTCAGCGTTTGTTGGAGTTGAAGGAGCGCGCCAATCTCTTACCCTTGGGTAGTGGCGCCTTGGCGGGCAATCCGTTGGGCGTTGATCGTGAATGGCTGGCGAAGCGCTTGAATTTTGCCGGTGTCACACCAAACAGCATGCATGCGGTGGGCGATCGAGATTTTGTTGGTAAGTAGGTGTGTGGGGGGCAAAATACTATTAATATTTTTTTGTTTTGTTTGTTGTTTTGTTTTTATGTTGCTTGACCCAAAACAACTCTTCTTAATCTCCTACGATCGTGTGTTCATATGATTTGCCGGTGCTCAGTGTATCTTCGTAGCATTATTGTTTGCGTGTAATTCATTGCGTCACACAGTTGCAAAGTCTTATCTCGCGTTTAGCGCAATACTTATAATATGATTCTGAAGCAATCAACGCTTTAGTTATTTTTTCAATGTTTTTAATAATGATTTCTTATTTATTACTTGTGACGAGTATTTACATGGCGGGAATCACTTGAATAAAGTTGAATACAATGTGTTATAAAATTCGCACTAATCAAGATACAGGGTGGACCAAATTATAATAATAAGAGACCGTCATATAGAGCGTTGTATTGAGCATATTATATTGGTTGCTTACTGCAAGTCTGTCATCCCTCCGAAAATGCGACGAGCGGCCCAATTTTCGACTACTTTTTGTAGCAATTGGGGCGGTAGGCATTAACGCGTCAAATATTCTCTTTCAAGGCGTCAATCGTCTCGCATAAACAAGCGACTGCACATAACCCTACAAAATATAGTTCAACGGTGTTAAATCGCATGACGTTGAAGGCCACTCATCAAAAGTTACCTTCAATAATTTGGTTGTTTCGTTGACTGTATGATATGTAGCGCCATCTTGTTGGAACCAAAGGTCGTCCACATTAACATCCTCTAATTCAGACATAAAATACATGCATTAATCATGGCTCTATAGCGTTCACCATTTACTAATCTGACTGGTTGTAGTTTTTAAGAAACATGGACCAATCTTCTCCTAGGGCATAACGAAATGTGACTTTTTGAAGACGTAACGGCGTCTCAACAATGGCTTGTGGATTATCATCACTTCAAATGGCTTTAAATCTTACACCAGTTGGATTTCGTAAACCCGCGAACCATTTTCTTCTGCAATTCTTGGGTGAGACTATGTAAGGCCACTGATGTGTAGTTGCTGGTATACTAACATTGGCTACCATATAAGTATTTTGTATCGCGTATGGCGCCTGATCTTAGTATTAAGCCGATTAGCATCAATAAAGTATCTGATGATAAGTGGTTCGCCTATGACAATGCCAAGCGAAAACGGTCGTGGCCGAATCGCGGTGACCCACATGAATACTGGCTAAGTCAGGACTGACAGTGAGGAAGATTTTGTTATGTGTTCGGTAGAATTAGTAGAAAAATATCTACTATGAGCGGCCGTAGGGCGAACTCTTAATTCGGACCAGTACTATCAACAATGGAAACATCTGAATGGAACAATCACCTAGAAAAATTAGTCAATAGAAGAAGAATTATGTTCCATTAGGACAATGTCAGGCCACACACAGCGATAGTGACTCTTATTCATTAAAAAATTTCCTTCAATGTGGCAATAAGTTATCGAACAACATGGTGCATAGGAAGAGTGATTTTGAAGACAATGTTAAACTGTCATGAGAAGTTCTTTCAGCCTTTTTTTACTGAACTGTGCCAGCTGATGTTGCTCCACTTCTGATGAATACTAGTACTTCGTCAGTATCCATAATGCCCTTAATTATCACAGATCGGAATCTCTTGCTTATCAATGTTTATTTCTTTCCAAAGTTTCCCTGAAAACTTCTATCATGTAATGACTCGCTGTGTTGTTAACGGGGTAACCTTGGATAACATAACTTGTTAGATGTATTTCTCATCTAGGTTTGTTGATGAAAAGGTGTGAATGTGATCCGTTAAGGCTTTAAATGGGCGGAATTAATTTAAACAATCTTCTTGATATACGATTTAGTAATTATATAGTAATTCATAGATTGAAAATGGAGGCTCAAAGGGAGATGTGATCCGTTGACTATTGAAATCAATCATCGAATTTTTTAAGCAAGACAATTGTAAGTTTTTGGAACCAGTGAGTGTTAAGAATACACATTTTCGAATCGAAATATGTGGATCTTCCTTAAAATCAAGTGGCAGGAATCAGATATGATGACCTATAGCATTAGATTTCTCTTGGTCTGGATACCCAACTATTCTCATAATGTGAGAAGTATAATTTTTCAGGTTGGAATGCCATTATCAAGTTAGGTTCAATGACTGATCGTCATGATGGGGATCTCATTTAAATAGAAAGTTCTAAGGCCGACACAAATCTCCTTAAGTATTTTATTTCTTTTTCTATTCCCACTAGTTGTGGAATCTGAAAGTGTGAGCTTTCAAGTGTTCAAGAAGGAAGTGTTGACGTGTTTCTACCTCATTTTCTTCCAAATAGTACCGCTTGGACACCGATAAAGCAATGACCAGATATAAATTCTACAATTAGGGAAAGGCTAGCCTTACTAATGCTATCACGAAGAGACTCCCATTGATACTACATAGGTTAAGCATTTATGAATTACCCGTGTGTTCAAGGCTAGCTCGTCACTGACGACCACGATCTATAGACGAGGAGATCTAACTTGTGGGGTGCCGCCAAAGCTTTGTTGAACGCACCCTCAATTGATAGGTAGGTTCCAACTACGAATTCTTTAAACCTGATGGCTTCCTTAAACCATTTCACGATAGTATGCGGGGCAGTGTTTATGTATGGGTTACTTACAATAAACGTGCTGTGCTCCTAATAAAAGGTCCATCGCAATGCGCCCTCTTACTTCGATGTGGCAGTCAAAAAGCTTCTCAAACGTTTTCAGTATGAAAGAGGAGAGGCCGATGGGCATAAAGTCCTTTGCCTTTCTTAAGATAATATATTTTCACTGTAAAAATTGTAATATAAAAACATTGCGAGCGTACAGAAGCCTTAATAAAAGTGAAATAGAATTGTTGAACTTTTTTCTTCATTTTATATGAAATTTTAAAGTGGAAATCGAGAATAACTAATTTTAATTTTCTTCCACAGTTGATTTCATCTACTGCTGCTCACTAGCCAGCTTGCATCTCTCACGTCTGGCTGAGGATCTAATACTCTATGCGACTAAAGAATTCGATTTCATAAAGATCGCCGATGCTTTCTCCACTGGCAGCAGTTTGATGCCACAAAAGCGTAATCCCGACAGCTTGGAATTAGTGCGCGGTATATCCGGTAGCATTTGCTCATCGCTGAGCGGTAAGTGGCGACCAATATGCATTAAAGCTAAATAATATAAACAATTATATACAATTTAGGCATTATGATGACCATTAAGGGTACGCCATCCACTTACAACAAAGATTTACAATTCGACAAACAATATGCCTTCGATGCGTTCGATCGGTTGCAAGATGCGCTTACCGTTGTTGAGGGTGTTATTAAGACCATGCAACTGAATCGTGAACGCATGGAGTCTGCATTGAGCCCGGACATGTTGGCTACTGATTGGGTGGGTTTTATATATACTTGTATGTATATACACTCATACATATGCAATTTTTATTTGATGTTTTTTTCATAAACTTCTAGGCTTACTATCTGGTACGTAAGGGTGTGCCATTCCGTCAGGCGCACCACTATATCGGCGAGGTAGTTGCTTACGCCGAAAAGCATGGCTTGGAGCTCAACGAAATACCTTTGGGTGAATTACAGAAAATTTGCAAAGAATTTAATGTTGATATTGCGCAAGTGTCCGATTATGGTGTCAATGTGGAGAAGTATGATGCAACCGGTGGCACCGCCACCAAATCGGTGAAACAACAATTAAAGACACTGCAAAAGTTCATAGAGGAGCTTAAGACGGTGAAATGAATTATTCAAAAGAAATAAAAAACTTGTTAAAATAGTAAAACAAACTAAAAAAAAGAAACCCTAAAATAAAAAATAAATAAATAATAAAAAATTTTAACTCATTTGAATAAAACTTTTATTTTATTTGACACAATATACTTGCTAATAAAGTGAGTTAAAATTGCACGCTATAAATATATGTATGGTTTACAATTATACATATAGCTTTATGTAAAATATATATTTATATTGACTTTTTCAAGCACAACTTGCAACATTTGACAACAATTTATTATTCTTGTATTTAAAAATAACTGCTATTACAACAATACAATAAACAATGAGAAAAAAACTTTTCCTTTAGGCACTCTAATTTGCTGACCATTTCCCTGCTCTAACTCACTTCCTCTCTCCCTCTATCCTTTTCAATTAACACTGGGACTGCTTGACGTATACGTAATAGGATCGTGTTCCATATAACGTTCGGCGCGTTCCAATTGTGTATAGCCGTTAATTGGTGAATTGGTCGGTGGTACCACCTTTCCACCCGAAATGAGTACACCCAAGTTTTGTTGTAGCTGCCAGCGGCGGGCTTTACGTATCGATTTGTTGCGGCGTAGCGTTTTGGCTAACATGAAGGCGCAGAGAACGCCAAGTAACTGTAAAGGGAAGAATCAATTACTGTACAAAAATGTATTTCTTCGATAAAATAAAAATAATTTTCGATGAAAGCCCATAAAAATAGCAAAAAATGTACAAAAGTAACAACAATGCCTTAAATCCAAAAATAGTGACATCGTATAACATTCCAGAGAACTTCTATTACCTCATCAAATTTAACCCGACTCTGGTCCATTTAAACTAAGCGCGCAGACCGCATTGATAAATTTAATTTTCGTTTTTTTTTTGGTACAAACTTGTTTTTGTATTCGTGTGAAGCTTGATCTCCATATGTCAATTTGTTTGTGTTTGGCAGTTGTTTTTTTACGAAAGGTTTTCTGGCAATCATGGAATCAATTTGTTTTCAACGAGTCATTGAAAATGTTGCAGAAGTTGAAGTCTATTTTATTGCAAACGCAAGTATTTGAGTGGCACAAAGCATTCAGTGAAGGTCCTGAAGCCAACGAAGGCTTGCCGTCTGCGAGTCGTTCATCTAACTCTGTTAGATTAATAATCCTACTTGGACAGCTAGAGACATGTGTTCATTGTGATGCATAAAACTCCTGGGTGTGGACAAAAAATACCGTCGCATATCGATAAAGCATCTAGAGCCTGCCAAAAATCTTTTGAGGCGTCTAATATTAATTCCAGCCAATTCGCCAGGTTCGTAGAAAGTATTACAACCCAAATGCTTCAACTTTAGTCTTACGAAAGCTGGACAGTGGAGGAGAAAGTGTGTACAAAGTTTTGCTTGAAAGACACTGCAGTGGTCTGGCAGTTTGAAACAAGAGTTGATTAAGAGCTCCCTCCAACTTTGCCCTTGAGCTTTGATCCATCCGTGATCACTGCACCTCTTCTTCAGCGACTTAGCCACACCAACCTCTTCTAATGAGCATAACATCGAGAAAGTTATGGTACTTCAAAGGCGTCGTGCGGGCATCAGAGAGATATCAGAGTATTTCAATATGTCTTATGAGCCGACTACACACATTTGGGTTAATGGTTTGTGTGTAAAGCGTGTAAATGTTACACTCATGTCAAAAGAATTGAATCTTTTGCAATATGAAGTCGAGTAAGGGTTCAAAAAGAGATGCTTGACAACGTAGCTGAGGACTCTACACTCAACCAAACCAGAAACCTTTAAGGTTACTGCGCGGAAAATTTAACGCACACTTCAACACGAGTTTAAGTAGAAAGCGATTCAGACCTTCTTCTAAATCAACGCTGTGCAATAAATGCTTGGTCTTTTCGTCTTACCTTTTACCTTTTACCTGTTACCTGCTTTATTAACAATTTTCAACTGAAAATTCACTTCTTCAACTTCACTCTCTTACCTGCACAAAAGCCACAGTAGTAGCACCGGTAGCAGTTAGCATTGCGCTCTGCGAAATAATATTGTCCATACGTGGCAAGCAACCGCTGTCGTAAGGGCTGATACAATCATTGATATCGGCGATAGAGAATTCTTCACAGCAAGATGATGGCACCTCAATTTTTTCGGTATAAGTGCTATTCAGAGGCTTCCAGTCCAAGGGGCTATTTACGCCACAGCAGCCGAGCTAAAAGTGAAACAACGAGCGACAACTCTTACTAAAAACCTTAAAGACTTTCGGACAACTTACAGTGGCCTGCATGAAATCCACACCGACTTCCACATATTCATTGTCATAATATTGCATGAGGGAATCGTTCATGGTGCGCATCAGCATGCTACGCACTTGGGTTTGCATTACAAAGGCGGCAATGGCGGCAGCCACTTCCAGAATAAACACCAAGAACAAGCTAACACCGTACTGTCATTGGATTGGAATAAGAGCGGTGATATTTGTATTAAATATATGAAATTCAACTTACTAAATTGATTAGCATTACACTCTCCTTAACCGCACCATAAGCGCCCAGTGTTGCGACGAACAACAAAATGAAACCGATGGCGATGAGCAATGCTGGCGGTGAGAAGAAGTGCCCGTCGATGAACTGGCTGAAATTGCCGAATATCGCCTGAATTGTTGAGCCGACCATAATTAGCAAAACTGCGGTGAGCTAGGGGAAAGAAGGATGAAAAAGTATGAAAACTTGCTTAAGTGAATGATAAAGAGATAATTATGGGATTAAAGCAAAGATTTTGTACGCGAAATGGGATGAACTTTTGAATTAATATTTTCTTAAAGCATTAACTCAGCCAAGCTTTGAGAATTGATACCACTTTATCAACATTTGACATTTATTATCTATTAAATTTTATGTTGGATTTGATTCAAAGCTTTCATTAAGTACAGCGTCTATAAGGAAGACGTGATTTTGACAGCTCGTGGTGGTCATGTTTGTTCACGGATTTGTGTCAAATTTTATCATTGTCTTCAGTAAGTTTTGCAATTTCATCATATCACGTTCCACTCTGGTACAACACTTGGATCCAAGATTATTACGCAAGTTCATGTCCTCCGGTAAGTGGAATTATTTTGTGGTTCAACAAACGCAACTGCAGACCCCAAAAATTGACCGTTTGGTGCGGATTGTGGTATGGCGGCATCATCGGATATGCAAATGGAGACGTGGTGGGCATTTTTCCGAAATTTTTTTTCAAATTATAAATGGCATAAAAATTTCTGCATAACAAAAAAAAACATAGCCCATTTTGATCAAATGTTATTTTAAAAACACGTCATTACTGTTGGTAGACCCTATATCAGTACGACAACGTTGAAGAAGATGAATAAGATTCGCAATACGAAAACTAAAAATCTGTTTAACAGCACTTTGCCGACTTTTAACATATGTCTTTGATGCATTTTTATGATTGATTTGACAACGAACAAAGCAAAGATTACTTCTTGAAAGCTTACAAGGTAAACCAAGGTAAAAAAGAGCAAATAATGTCAGTAACTGTATCTGTCATTAAGTCAGAATGAGCAGGAAGAAATACATACTTCGAAATACTCCGACAATTTGTAGCTGGCGGTCGAGTTCTATTGTGATATATATGTAGCGCCGAAAAGTTAGTAATCTTTCAGTGAGTTTTCATCTGCTTGAATTTTTTAAACCTGCTAAGAATTTCAGAATATAAAGTTGTTGAACTAAAAGTTTGTATAGAGATTTACATGATGTAGTCTTAATAATCGTAACGAAATTTTCCGAAGGATTTTGGCTCAAAGCCTCAAGAGCTCCAACAACAATATATCAAGACTCAATGGTCTCTTTCTTACTCAACCTCAATCATGGAGCTTTTATTATGTATTTTAAGAGAAACCACTGTTCAAAAAACTTCTTCTATATCACTTTATCATCTAAAATCTATGGATAAGTAGACGTGGTTGTAATTTATAATTGGTTGGTATCATGAGAGTGATATGTATGGTGTACATGCTAGAATACTTGTATATGAAATTTCTCACATGACGCATATATGGGCAGATCTGTATACCTATGAAATATTATATTATATTCTAGCACAATCGGTAAGTGATTTATTGTTTTATCAGCACTTTTCAATAATAGCAGTTAGAGATATTGTTAATTTTGATTTATAGTATGAAATATTAGCTATCTTCGCAATGCTTTCTTGTCATACAATTTTTTTAAAGCTTAAACATTTTAGTTAGCGTATTGAGTTTGATTTAAGAGAGCATACACCCAAATAACTTCTAAAAAAATTTTTTTTTGCCGATTTTAGACCAGTTCTACTATTGTGAGTGGCTCAAAAGACCCAAATCAATGTCAAATACATTTAAAAGACTTAAATCAGAGTAAGTTTTTCTTAAAGATTTTGGACCAGTTTCACTGTTGTGAGTGGCTCAATAGACTCAAAACAGTTTCAAAAAATAATTTTTTTACATGTTTTAACCAGTTTTATTATACTGAATGATCCCAAAGACTCAAATCTATATCAAATAATTTTTTTTATTACAGATTAAAGACCAGTTTGCGCTCAAAATACACATATTTGTATTACTTTAAAGTGATTTTTTTTACAAATTTTAGGTTAGTTTCACTATTGTGAATCGCTGTAAGGACCCAAATTATTGTTAAAAAAGAAACATAAAGATTTTTTTTACTAATCTTATGTTAAGACTCGAAATAATATACTATAAAGGGCTGCACCTCAAATGCCGCCAGTTTGCATAACTGGTATGGTTGTTCGATTAGCGACTCTCCAAGGCTTGGCGAATCGAATGCGCCAATTATTCGGTAAGCTCAGGAAGTTTGTAAGATACCTACTTTTAACCTTGTATTGGGCGGGGACATGCTTACTTTCCAAAAGTAGTACCCCTGCGGGCAGGGGATAGAATATGCCCGCGGCAAGGCATGCCTGTCGTAAAAGGCGACTAAAAGCCAATATGAACTATGACTGTTATTATATTCTTTGCACAGTAATATCAGCATAGTATATGGAGTGATAGTGCTATAATACTCAGCTTGAACTGATATTAGAAACACTTTAAATGAAAAAAGCGAATAAAAAGACATTTGAAGTTCAAGCGACAAATGTCACCAGTCATTTGAGTAATGGGTTGCTCAACTGGCAGTAGTTTAGGCTACGCAGTCTGACCGGAGACTTTCCGGTACCACGGGGAGCAGAAAGCCCTTGGACTTCTGTTCAATCTGCTCATTGGGTTCGGCCCTTTGGGGAGTATCGTGGTGGCTGTGGTTTAAACCTAAATGCTGGAAGAACTGAATTTTCAGTTCGAAAAAAGAAGTTGCACAAGTAACTGGGTGCCGTACCCGAAAACGGAAGAGGTTTTAGGTCGGCCTCGAATCACACCAAGATGGTAGTGTGGACCCAGACACACTGCCACTGGTATCCAAATAAATACTTGCAAAAAGCTCGTATTGTTTAGGGCGCTTATCAACGCATTGTATTGATACGTTGTGTTTTAGAACACCGTGAGGTAAGGCCGTCGCCGGCAGGTACTCACGTAAATCTACAACGAAAGTTTCCAAAAGTAGTTATTAGTTAGTAGTATTAGTTATAGACATACCTATGGCTTTTCCCCAATAAATCATTTTTAATATCCTAAAACATACGAACTGGGAAAATACCTATTATTCATTAAGTTTATATGTACATATATATATATCTATACTATTTTTCCATATAAATATCTATGTATTTAATGAGTAAGAATATTTTTGACGACATAAAATCATGACAGGTATCCATATATGGTATATGTAGATATACATATTTACGTCAATTATATAGTGTCTGCTAATCAAATAATGACACCTTAGTGATAATATCGTACGATACGAGTGTTTACTCATTCATTCACTTACAAATGTGTGTGGTCTAAATATTTCCGATGATAAGAAAAGAGTGCAAAAGTTTGCTTTTTCATATAAGAGCAGTTTTAACAGAATCATTTATTGCTTGAAGGTAGTAAAAGGTTATTTATACCATAGTAAACGAATTATTATGAGTATTAAATGTAATAATTATAAAAATTATTGTTATTAACTTTGGACTTGTGGTCAAAATTTATTATTAAAATATTTCACTTTAAAAAAATTATAATAATTTTTATATGTATTAAGAGTACGTCTCATAAATGTAAACGTACAAATATTATATATATATATATATATTATATAAGAAAGCAAACTAGATATCATCGTCGGAGTGAGAGTGAGCAGCTCTTAAACATAGACATACAAAGGCACCGTTAAGGCCAAATTAAATCTAATTGTATTTTCACCGTTACGCTGTGCCTTAATGCAAACACATTTTATAGATATGTACATAGGTATGTATATACAAGTATATATATATATATATATTTAACAAAATTCATTGTTCGCAAAATTTGGTTTGTAAATTACAGTTATCTCAGTATACATATAATCAGAGTTGCCATATTCTTATCTCAGTGTATTTTTGACTCTCTATACCACTAATTACGATTTAGATAGTAATATATAAAAGTTATACACTTTTGTTTATATATATTAATTACATAAATTTACAAACAGACAAACAATGCAGTGACGTTAGGAAATAGAAAGGTCATATATGAGTAAAAACACGTCAAGTGGACCCCCCATTTTCCACTTGATCATCGAATTTGAATGTGAGTATTTTTTCATAAAGTAGTCATCATGAACAAGTAATCGCCCGCTCAGTTTTTTTAAATTCTAGTTTTAACCACAATTTTTTTTTAATTGAAAATTTTTACTACTTTTAGTTAAAAAATGAATAATTAGAAAACTATTGGTGATTTTTTAATCAAGTTTTCAGGAGTTATAGTTCAAAACTTGTACTTTGAGAAAATATGTATGAATTTAAATAATTTTTTTTTTCTAATTGTTAATTAACTTTTAAGTTAAGAAATTAAAATTTTAATGACTTCTCACTCAAAAAATTAAAAAATTAAAAATTTTTTTTAGTAAAAGGCAATAAACATTAAAGTAACGAAATCCGCAAAAAAAAATTGACTGATCGCGATTAAATTAAGCAAAAAAAATTTGTTATGACGTTCGGTCAGCGCTGCCGGTATAGCGGTTTATGTTTGTGCGGTTCGGCAACGCGACACTTAGAGTGTGTTACATATAATATTTCATTTGTATGTTGGGATGGTGGCCCCACATTTTGCTTGCAATGAATTAGCATGATTGTGGTAGAACAATACGCATAATACCTACCCGCTTATCAGTTTCAAAGAAATACTTAAGACGGGAATTCTTAGCTTTCATATTAATTTCTTTTAACCGCAAAGCATTTAGTTCGAATATCATTTTATTTAAAACAAGAATTGTAATGTTAATTGGATGTTTTATAATGAATAGAAAAAAATATGGGGTAAAAAGATTATGGATTTTTAATATTTAAAGAATAGAAAATTCCAGTTAAAAATTTGGTCTTGAAATATTAATAGCGGGTATTCAATGCATTCTGGTGGATTAGGGAATTGCCGTCTTAAGTATTTCATGATGACTACTTTATGAAAAAATACTCACATTCAAATTCGATGATCAAGTGGAAAATTGGGGGTCCACTTGACGTGTTTTTACTTATATATATATAATCGGTGGTTTAGACAATATTTGTGAGGCAAATGTTAGCGGAATAGAGTTCTGATATATGAGTAGTAAAATATATACTAAATAACAAAATGTCCGCAAAGCAAAAGCAAATTTAATTTAGTTTGATTGAAAACTAATTATTAACGCAGTGTTGCAAAGCAATCAAAAACCAGTTACATTGTGGATGGGCACTCGAAAATTGCCCAAAATATTTCGCAGCCAACTTCATTCGAAAGAAGGCTCTTTCGCTTATCTATTGAACTGAACTCTCGGTTAACGGAATCAAGCACTTTTGTGATTTGATCTAGTCAGATTTAGAGACTATGACACTGTATAGACAGAGTTGTCAATGTATGTATGTAATAACGAATTGTAGTGTTTACTGTTTAATATATCTGTATATATAGAATTCTCAGTTAATGTTTATAGCACTATTTTCTGTTTTGAAATTTGGAGAAATAGTTGGTGATTAGACTTTTGGTTTAAAACAGGTGACGACCAATAAAAGTAGAGCTTACTTTGAGGTACTCGATGCTCATATTTGTAATAAAACATGTGTTGGAAAAAGCTTTGGACTAAAAGCGATGAACTAATACATATATGAATGGATAAGTTATTTTTATACTTTCGCAGCATGTTGCTACAGAGTAGCTAACGGTAGCTTGTAACAGCTAAAACTAATCATGATCGATATAAAGTTATATATACATATTTGTACAAGCGTATATAAATTCCGAGGGACTGCCTATCTGTCCGTGCATCCGTGCAACCGCAAACTTAAAGTAAAAATTGGTCTTGGCATCCAAGGGAGGATGGTATTGCAGATGGGAAGAATCGGACTTTTGCCACGCCCACAAAATGCCATTAAGTGAAAACTTATATAGTGCTATAACTCAGCTCTTAATAAAAAATTTGGTACAGAGAATTGCGTTATGCTATTAAGAGGCACCTGTAAGCTAAAAAATGTTTAAAAAGTGGGCGTTGCCCGGCCCCCTAATATATTGAATGGACATATCTCACACATCTCTAAAGCAATATCAACCAAATTTGTTCAGGAAAGTCTTTTCGGTACTTGCTTCAGTAGCGTGAAAATGAGTAAAATCGGCGTATAACCACACCCACTCCCCATAAAACGGTTATATTGAAAACTACTGAAAGTGCGTCAGAATCAATAAATTTTACGCTCGAAATCGTAAAAAAGGGCTTCATTGGTATGTTACGAAATCGGGCTACAACCACGCCTACTTCTCATATATACTATTTTTAAATTCCATATGATTCTTTTATTTTGCAGTATATAAATCGAGGGCCGATGACGTTATCGAATATGAAATCTCACTTCCAAAAAAGCGGCAGAATCGGATTATAACTTTCTTTTAATTAAATAATTCTTTTTTTACCTTGAACAGGGGTTCTCACGAAATTTGTAACACCCAGAAGGCAACGTTGGAGATGCTATAACGTATATAAGTATATAAGTGAACCGCGTGACAAGTAAACGTCTGTTTGTCCATCTATATATACCCGAACGAGTATCTCAGTTTTTGATGCATCAATTGAAAATTTTGCACACGTTCTTTTTGCTCCAAGAAGTTGCTCAGTTGTCGAAATCGTCGATATATGACCACTATAACATATAGCTGAGCTGAGCTACAAACTGAACGATCAAAATCCAGTTCGTGTATGGAAAATTTTTTTCGTTGACAAGATATCTTCACGAAATTTGGCTAAAATTATTTTTTAAGACAACGGTACGATCTCCGAAAATAGCAAATCGTCCGATAACATATAGTTGCCATACAAACTTATTGATCAAAATCAGGTCCTTGTATAGAAAATCTTTTTATTTGACGTGATATCTTCGCGAAATCAGGCAATCCATTGTCCAAGGAAAGGCTAACGTCTCCGAACATAAAGCTCAGATCGGACCACTATAGTATATTGCCGCCATATAAACTGATCGATTAAAATCAAGTCTTTATATGGGAGACTTTTTATTTGTTTTTACACGCAATTTGGTGTAGTTTATTGTTCAAGACAACGTCACATCCTCCGAACATATTGTTTAGAGCGGACCACTATAGCACTATATCATAAAGCTGCCATACAAACTAACGGACCAAAAATCAAAATACTGGTATTTTTATACTCTTTTATGCTATAAGAAATGCCCCTGTGGAGCGAGGGTACTGTAAACTAGCTTAGGTTCGAAGATATACGTTTTTCTTATTTTTTAAGTCATTATTATTATTATATTATTTATTTAATTTTACAAAAATCTTTTAGCTTAAACAAGTGTTTATAGAAATACTCGTAACAGTTATATTTTGAATGACAATAATCGAAATATTTGTAATTATAAATATATGCAATTACGTTGTTGCTATATAGTAAGCAACCATTATAGACACACAAACATACATACAAATATCAATGCCAGTCAATATAATATGCGCCTAGGTGAGTGAGTTCCGAGGTGTGCTAGCCAGGTGATATCAGTAAGCCAACAAATCGGTGTGTAACCATGTATGTGTTTACTTTGCTAACTATAAGTTGTGAGTGTGTGAGTGAATATTTTATGACAAATTATTTAGAGCCGATAAAATTGCGCTATAAAAAATCAATAATTTCACAAAGTTCGGAAAATGAGTTAATGCAGTTACTATTATTTGTGAGGTTATAATTTTGTTACTACTTATTGTTAATTATAATTTGTGCTATTAACTTACCGCAAACATAAAGCTCACGATTACTAGCATAAATTTTGCACAGCGCATGCCGGAATTCAATTGATCGCGCGCCATTTTATTTTTTTTTCGAGCTTTTTGAATTTGTCGAGCACAGAGCTTGTTTTTTTTGCACTTTCAAAATTGGGACCCTTTCGTTGCCCGTACACTTTTTCGCTGTAAAAAAAAATTGTCATTAAAATGTATTTATTTTGTTGCACTTCTTTTATTGTATAAGATTTTAGATATATTTAATATTTCTCAAATTTCACTTTTTTCTTATTGGTTTTTGTTGTGTACGTTGTCAAAGCACTATTTGTTTTGTTGTGGTCATTACCGTTTCGTAGTGACAATCGATAAAGATATATATTTACTTGTCCACACCGTCTCAAAGTCACTTCAATACTGAATCCAAAAAAAGCTCGATAAGTAGTGCAAGCAGTGGCAGTGTCGTGTCCTAAGCGTGTTACTGTATATATATATATATATAGACATTTATGAAAAGCGGGTGGTACAAAAACAAGTTCCTGAAATTCATCAGAGTGCTGGGCCTTTGTGAATATATGTGATAGAGGAAATTGCACAATAGACCTTAGCGCGCGGTGCAAACCTCAACAAGCAAACTATTTTATTTTTTGCTCTTTTTTCATATCTAAATTTCAGTTTGGTTTGAAGCGAAATTCTGCTGGTCAAAAATTAATAAATTAGCATTATAGAAAAATGTTGTTTTAGGTTTCATCCATAGATGCCACAGTAGAAACCCTTTTATAGCGCCAGCGGAGATCGTTGGCAACTCAAAAAATATTAAATCTTTTTGCTCAAAAATTTTACTGTGAATTTTTAAAATAGTTTTAAATATACCCTTAACATTTTAAAACAATTGATAAAGTAATTTTTTTAATATCCAAAAGTCGCCTTTATTTAGCTGTCGTACTAGTAGGTGTGTGCCTTTAGACCCTGCATCGAACCATTAAATTTATTAACTATTTGGTTAATATAATATAATATCCTGAAATAACATAACCTCTATAATATTATATGCACTTATGTGAGACACTTACGCCCTATCGTAAGTTGTGAGGGCTTAATAGCGTAGACTAACTAAGACTAGAATGATTGTAATCGTCATTTTTTAATGTTTTCCAATATTTTTAATTAATACTGAACTACAAACATAGAAGAATATAAACTTAGAAAGCAGAACTTGTAAGTTTAGAAAGTTCTCAAATATAAGGAAAACTGAGAAGATTCTTAATAAAGTATTTCCAACATAAATACTTACCCACAGCTTACATGATATTATTATATTTTAAATGAACATAAGCCCAACAACTACAATTAATTAAATATTATAAAATTTTTTAAAACAAATCAACAAAAAAATGAATAAATCTATATAACACAAAATTAAGGAAAACATTTTCGTAGGCATGGGTAATTGAGTGTTATTAGCTCAATTTATAGATTATTTAGGAAAATCAAATTCGAAGTACCTTTTGCTTTCACACAAGGCCTCAAATGAGTCGACCATTAATCCAAAGCAGCATGCACAGTTTCTATTGGTATTGACGATGCTGCTCGAATTGATTTTGAGACTCTCCAAATTTCTGTGTGGTATTCAACAGGCCACGTTCTTCAACTCTGACTACAAACTGTAGTACAATGGAATCAAATCTGGACTTCCAGAAAATCATCTGCAGCTATGAAACCTAGAGTATTGCTTTTGAGCCACTGCTGGTTGGTTTTAGCCTTGTGTGCTAGACCAAACCATTACAGCAGTGGAATAGTCTGTGGAATAAACTTTATTGTGTCTTTCAAAGTTTTTGCCTAGAATTTGATGTTTCTGTAAAAATAATATAACTTTCATTGCTGTAAAGCCCAATTGACCAACGCTCGGCTTTCATGATGAGATCATGTTGAATAAATCTTGACACTGATCTGGTCGTTATATCCAGTTACTTTGACATAATTTTTCGTTTTATATTGAAAATATTTAAAAGAAAAACATTTAATTGTGTCACACAAAAAAATTATGCCTGCTTTTGAACCATGCTTTATATTGCGAGTACGCACTTACACTCAAAGCACAGCAATTTCGGCACACACTGTCTTGCCTGCGCTCCGATCACTGGAGAGCACCTTCGATTTCGTTTTTACTATAGTAACTTAGCACACATGTTTAATTATTTGTAAATATGTATGCCTGTAAATAGAGATAACATAACAAGTTTTTTTGTTGCTGTTGTTATGCTTGCTTTATGGCGCAATATGTTTTTATTGTAGTTGCACTCACAATTGTGTTGCTGTTCTTGTCATTTAGCGCCTTATCAGTTTGCTTTATTTGCTTAGCTGATAAGCAGTTCTTCGTTTAACAATTTGCCCGCAAAAGTTACAAAATAAGTGGTAAAGAGAGAGCGAATGAGAGTGACGGGCCGGATATGAAAACGTGACGAAGGAGCTTGGGTAGAATATTTTGTTATCGCAATAAGCATTGCTCATATGATAAGATTTTGCAATACTTGCGCTATAAATAAGTTACTGAACATACTAGCTTATAGTATTTATAATTAACTACAGACTGTAGCGAAAGAATTATGGAGCTGTAAAGAGACTTTAATTAGTATGTAGCTTGAGGCAAATAGTAACAATTGAAGTATCAGTGGAACCCCTTCTACATATTTGGTTTATTACAGTCTGAAGAGACTGCCAAACCTCAGATGATATCACGTTTTCATGAAACACTGTTCGGGGTTTGTTCCGTAAGCTCATCTACATTATTACAAACATGAGGAGCTGGAGTGTCGGAATAAAGAATTAGTGGATTTTCAAAATTTTAAGAACACTTGCTACTAAATGACTACCAAACCTCGGATGATATCTCTCTATTGACGAAGCGTTCTTCGGGGATTGTCAGTAATCCTCATCCTTATAAGTATGGGCAAGAGAAGCAGGAATGTTTAAAAAAAAGAATAGTGCATTTTCAAAATTTTTAGAACACATAGTACTAGAGAATACCAAGCCTCGACTGATACCTCTCTGTTTACGAATCGCCCTTTGGGGATTAGTCGGAAAGCTCACTTACATAAGACAAAAGGAATAGATAAAGCTGTAATGTCGGAACATAGAAACAGTGATTTTTTTTTTTTAATTCTGAATACATGTAATTGGTAAATCTAGATCGAGTGGGGTCCAACAAATGTGTTCGTATTTTTTCCTTTGGTCAAAATTTTAGCATATGCAATTTAGAGGAGATTTTCACATTGCTCTATTATTGCTAGTTAACATATCCCACTTACCTTAGTCACTGGTGCTTTATCAGTCGGGGGACTATAGTGCAACTGTTACGAGTTTAAGATTCTGTAAAAGCTTTTCGGTTTGACATTTGATCAATTCATGTCAAGATTTGCGATAAAACCAAAAATAGTGAATTCTGAAATATTCATCTTTATATATAACTAGTTCCTTTTAACCTTTTAAAATAGTGCGCTTGAAAGAGTTAGTTCTGTTGCTCAAAACCTGGTACAATACAAGAATAGAGAAAACTCATATGGTACTAAGGGAGCTGGAGGATCAGAGTATTCTAAAGTTGGATATAGCTCGTTGTGTTACTGGAGATTAGTCAAAGAGAAATTTCGATTTTACGCATTTCGGCCTAAAGCATCAGTAATGAGAACTATTTAGTAAAACTTATGGATCCAAAGAAGTTTAGATTTCCGAAATAATGGTCCTTGGAAAGATAAAATCGTCGTCAACTCCGTTAACGTAGAACCGGCTGCTGTGGTAATTGCTAATAGTAACACTCGATAGCCTGAGCTCATTCACTCCTGTGCTATCTTGTCTTTTTTCACAGCAGTTGTCTTCGGTATCGATAACTAACCTATTCAAATATCTAGCAATCTGAGCGCTATTAGAACAAAAATGTAGGCATAAATAGACATATAGTAAGTCGTTTATAGTTTTTTTATGAATCCAAGGTGCTCTAGCAAACTCAGTTAAATAAATTTTTTATTTTTGCTTTCACTTTCCTTACCCACTGTATGCAGGTGTACCGATATAAATCATATAGCCAAGTGCATAAGCGCAAGTTGAATTGCGAACGCATCATCATCCGAGTATGTAAGTATATAGAAATTGTATAAAAAAAAACGCATTTACAATGCTTTATATAAGCTCTTAAATGCTTAACTGTAGCTTTTGCCGTTTTCATGTTCAATTTGCGCTAGTTTCGAACACTTAACTTGTCTCTGTTTTGTATACAGCAAGTTAAGCAGTTAACAGATGCGCCTACTTGAATATTCATTTAGCTGCTGCATATCAATATTAATAGATTTACTGGCAAACTACTTATATATAACATGACGTGTGCAGTTGTCAGTAGTTATTTTAATTAGCTTTTTTTCACTTTAAATGCTTAAATAGAGACATATATATATACGGGAAGGATTTAAACTAGTTTTATCATTATACGTATCATAATACAGTACTTAAGGGGAGAGATGCCCTCGAATTTTTAGCTAGATATTACACAGATTGAACGATAAATTTTGTATTCAGTCAATAGGAATTATAATTATTTCTCTTTTTCGATATTTTAAGGTTAGGTATTGTCAGGTTGGGAATCAGAGTTGTCACATTATAAGAAGCAGCAGTTGTTCTGAGGTACTAAGTTGTATTGTCGGTGATTCGATTCTTGTTTTTGGAAGAGAAATCTCTCAGACTCTTCATCTTCAATGACAACCGTCCAAAATTGGTTTAACGAGTTTAAACGTGGTCATACGTTGGTTTTTGATGAGCCACATCCAGGTTCCCCGAAAGCGGCGACCAAGGAAGATAATATGAAAATAAGTTCACGATTTCATATTGATAGATTACCAGTTGAAGGTGCGTGAGATTGTTGAGAACGTAGTAGTTAATGCATAAAATATTGAACATATGACAACTATCGCGTTTGTTTTTTCCAGACAATAAACGCATTTGTGAGACCATTTTACAGCTATCTAAATATAATCCAAAGAAGTTGCTGTATCGTTTCGCGTCAACGAAAACAATTTATGCATCTGAGATGAAGAAATAGTCGAGACATAGTACTTCACACAGCGATCCTGCTTCGAAAAAGTCGACGGCGGTGCTATTGGTCGAAAAGGTGATACTCAACGTTTTATAGAATTGACTACCTGAGGTAGGTAAAACGGTTTCAAAGCTCACTGTTTTGAATTGTTGGGGGATTCGATGCCGATTCGCAGAAAAAATGGTTTGATTTGTGGAAAAAATAGTGCTTTTCCTTCATGACAACTCACCGGCTCACACTTCCGTTCTCGCGACGCCCATCTAGCTCGAATTAGGCTACGAACTCATCCACTTTACTTAATATATTTGGCGCCATGCAAGTCACTCGCAGGGAGAAATTTGAGTTAAATGAAAAACGTAGGCTCCTCGCTGGGTTTAATGTATCGAGTCAAAAAAAATAAATTCCGAGTTTTAGAAAATTTTCGTTTTTTTAAGCATTGGCGTGAGAAAAAATAACTAGTATCGAATTTATGGGTTAAAATTTAAATGACATGTAAAAATGTTTTTATTATAAATACCAAAACTTTTGCACCGTTCAGTATACATTTTTTTTATAGTGCGAATTCTTGTAGAGTGTAAAATTTTCTACAAAATCTATTTCAGGAGAATTTTAATTAATTTAGAGTTTAATTAATCAGAATTTGGTTAATTTTAACCCGACAATTTCTATTTTAGGTTTTTGGCTTACCCTAAGTTATAGCTCAGAACTTTTTTTTAATTTTAAAATTTCGCGGGCGTGGAAATTCCAATTGCCATTTATACAAGTATATCAATTTTTATTATGTTGATAGACATGCGCCTTAAGTACGATACAATTTTCAGCTGTAATCATTGCTTACTTTGTCTGTAGTATCCGCTAAGCTTAGACGTGTTTTTATGAGCTTGGCGATTTTCGATTGTTAAAAGCTTACACTTCGTTGTTTGTTCGTGAATTCCTAATCAAAAGCAATACTGTAACGAAGTCCCAGCCTCCACATTCGCCAGACATGGCTCTGTGTGATATTTTCGTTTTTCCAAATATTAAGACAACCTTAAAGCGCCATCGTTTTACAAGCATAGATGACATTAAAAGCGAATCGCTGATAGAGCTAAAGTCCATCTTTAAATTAGAGTTTGAGAAGTGCTTCGACGATTGAAAAAAGCGCTGGCATAAGTGCATAATGTCGAATGGGATCTATTTTGAAGGTGACGACATTAATGTAGACGAATGTACAAATATTGATTTTAAAAATCGAAAATTCTCGATATATGGTCTTAAGTCAAGCGCAAGTTCGAAATTTATTATATATATTATAGTATAACATGATTTTTTGTAAAAATAGCCACAGTTGTCCTTTATTTTAAAAAATTATAGTGTTGTAGCATAGTTTGTGACTTAGGTCGGTAGATAGGAGTGCTACCCTTCGGGGGTCACTACCGTAAAATCTTTACATCTTACTATCTCGTTTTATTGTGGTGTTCAAACCTACCAATAGTTTTTGTCGATATACAATACATTCAAGGTTTGGTACCTAGTGAATTCCAAGAGTTCTATGTCGGGCTTGTGATAGAATTGGTCACTCACAGAGGAAGTGTAAAATAGTTTCCTTATTCCATTCGAGTTTAGGTTATAGGCATTATCAATTTTAATTTTGTATATACTTTTCCTGGATCTATTTAATAAGTCTAGTGCCAAGGAATACATGTGCCAAGATTTATTTTATTTTACTTTCGTTTGCATGAACGGACGGACGGACCTTGCGGTAGTGAAAGGGTTAACAGTATGTATTAAGACTCAATTTTCGTTTTTGTTATTAATTTATTTTAATGATATTTTAAGAGAATACCACATACATTTCTTTAGCCAATAACTTAAAGCAAAGTAAAATGCCAGTTTACTTAAATACATAAGCGCTACAATATATAGGATATGTGTATATGAAATGGTTAATTTATAAACAAAATTAGTTTAGGAAAGACCTCACTTTTAATAATATAAAACTATCCCGCTGTCGATTTGACGAACTCATCCCATGCAACCGGTTATGCCATTACGGATTTTTATCTCACGTGCAACATAGCAGGCAAACAAGACGCCGAAGAACTGCAATATAAAATATAAATAATTAAATTAACATATATATGTATATATATATATAAATATATATATATATTATTACTTATAATTATTATATTATAAAATATAATTATTATAATATTATAAACCGTGCAACAACTAACCTGAATGATGGCCAACACAATGCCACAAGCGCCCAAACTAACGGCATGCGCTTCTATAAATATCGAAAATTTCGACAAACAACCATCCTCATGACGCCTAGTGTTTTCTGTGGCATTAGTGCAACTGTATGAGCCAACAACACCAGCGGGAATGTAACAGCAAGAAAGTGGTAAACTGCCATTGAATTGTTTCCAATCGGTGTAGCTGTTCACACCACAGCAATCGAACTGTAATTACATTAATTATATTAGTAGTTACATATGTACATATATACATAATTACGTAATTGCATAGTAAAGTAGAGGAAATAGTTACATTATTTTGCACATAATCCCAAATTATTGTGTATGGATTATTCTCATTTATTTGGCTATATTCTTTAAGTGTATTCTCTAGGCTCTGTTCGATTAGGTTTGTCGCATCGGAACGCAAGACATAACCACTAATGCCGGCTGCCAATTCCAGTATAAAAATGAAGCCGAGCAAAATGGCGAATATTAGCGTTAGGCAATAGTTCTCTTTGATAGCACCCCAACAGCCGAAAAATGAAATGAATATCACGAAGACGCCAATGACGATGAGAAAAGTCGGTATTGAAAAGAAATTACTAGCAAGTACTGTTTGATAACCATAGAAAACGGATGCTACACCAACGCCGACAGCAATCAATATGATGCCAGTGATCTGGAAAAGAAGTAGTAGGAAAATATTATATAGAATATATATTCATATATATCACATACGAATTCATATATATTCTTTGGAAAATTTTATATAATTTTTTTTTTGTTGTAGCAACTCTAAGCGTTCAAAAAGCTTTTATACATGTTTTTTTGTATTTAAGTTCTGATATTTATCAATCAAAAGAGTTCATGCAATTTAATTTAAAATAACGTTTTTTTGGTGGCAACCCTAAAATAAAAACACAATTTGAATTTAGTTATTTTTGTAATTTTTCGTATATTATCAACCAAAACAATTCATAAAATCTAAATTCCAATAAATTTTTGTGGAGACAACCACACAAATTTATTATAATACAGAAAATATAAAATTGAAATTGAAATATATTATGTGGTTGCCACTCTATTCGTTTAAATAGATTTTATACACAGTTTTTGTAATAAACTTAGAAATTCTAGCAATTATCAATCGAAAGAATTCATAAAGCTTAAATTAAAATATTTTTGTGGTGGCAACCCTACACGTTAAAAAAGTTTTCATACATGTACCGTATTTTTTATTTTTCACGCATATTAATTGTATGGAATTCATAGATTAAAAAAAAAATTGGTGGCAACCCTATGCCATAAAATAGTTTTCTCACATATCAATTTAATATTTTTCAAATTCAAATTCATAGTGAAACTGCGCAAAAATTGGCTAGCGAAATTTTGTATTTTGATTCCGTACTAAAGCTCGGCGTGCATTATTAAAAAATCACCGTTAACAAACTAAAAAAACAAATAATGCCCTATCAATAATATTTACTGCTTGCTACTTGGTTGGCAATATTTTATTTCGTATTAAACAATGCTGACTTTGCCTTTTTTATTTCTGATAGAAGCCAGTGTGATAAGCTATCATGTGAACGTAAACACATACATACATATCTATACTTATGTACAAAGATAAACTGATTAATTTTTGACCCCATTAAATTTTATGCGATACCTTACAACTGCTTGCAAACATATGTAAGCACCATTTTGTGGACTTTAGCTGCAAAATTGATCACATATGCAAATAAATAATTGGATTAGTGATTTTTCTCTATGACGAAATCATGTGAGTCATTAAACTGTAATGGTTACTGTATAAGAATTGTATATGAAAAGCTACAAAACCGTTATAAAAATATAGCCTTCAACCAAGAAAGCTCGGAGGGGATAAATGGTACACATATATATACGAGCTCAAGCAGTAAGGCATGGCGTATGAGTAATATGTTATTACATGGGATACATTTTTGGCGTATAAAGCAAAAAAGTAAATAAAATAAAATAAAATATATAAATAAAATAAAATATAATAAAATGATATGATATAAAATAAAATAAATAAATAAAAGTGAATCGAATAAAGTAAAAAAAAAATGAAAGGAAGCCTTAGTAATACATATTTTTGATAATACTTGTAAGAATTGATTATTTTATAAATTATTTATTTATTAAGTAATTTATTGATAAATTTTAGTATACAAAAGAGTTGACGACTAATACAATAATTACTATTATCATTTTCTTTATATTTTTCATGGAAAAAGTAGTTTTCAATGGAAATTAATATTTTGAACATTAAATTAAACATTTTGTAAGCATATATACATATACAACAGTCAAAATTTGACCTACTAGAAAAAAACCAACACTGTGTTATCTTTAAACGACATTTAATTTCACAAGGTTGTAATTTAATATTTTTTAATAGGGTTGCCAATTGATAAGTAATTAAAGTGCATTTAAACTGAATTGCTTTCCAAAAAAAAAAAATAAATAAAAAATAATTTCACAATGACTTTTAAAAATAGACCAAATAAATTACTGCATTATATAAAATTTGCAATTTCGGCAACCGAAATGCCAGTGTTTTTATTATATTTTTTTTATTTATACATTAAGAAGTTGCAAAAATAACTAACTCTTACTGTTTCGTCAGTGAAATAAATTTGTAATAAAATATGCTAAAATTTCATTAACAGCTTACTTTACTTAAACTGAATCAATTAGTAAAGATCTTAAAAGTCATAATTGAAAATATATATTTATATTTTTATTTATAATACTCAAGCGTAATGAAAGCAATTATTGCAATAATGTTGCCAACTATTTTGAAAAATGTATGTTTATAAATTTAAAATTAAACTAAAATAAGATGTTAATAGCTTTAAAATTTTTTCAAAAATCTTACAATTATTGTACACCATAGTAAATATGTGTCTTTGAAAAAAATATACATAATTGTTTTAATATAAATTATGTGTTTAAAAATTTATAAAATTATTTAATCTGTCATAATTTAAAAAAAGGTTGCCAGCTTAATTTTATTATTATTTAAATGAAAGATTTTAAGGAAATTGTTTTTTTTTTTTAATTTCCAATACCATACATTTTAGTAGCAATTCGTTAAATGTTAATTTAAATTTTTTTTCAAACTTACCATAAATATAAAATTGAATGCCAAGAGCACGTACTTGATAGTATTCGCACTACCCGTCAGTAATGACATTTTGCTGTATTATGCTGCTACTTTTTTTTTTACTAAAATATATATAAAAAATTTTATGAATATTTATAAATATAAAATTTTTTTTCGTCTTTATTTCGTCACTTTCGTGCAGTAGCGTGTGCTAATTTTCGTTTGTTCAACTCGCAACGGTTATTATCAAATACTAACAAAACATCATTTCGTTGAAGTTCATTTAAGTCGAAGTTTTTTCAAGCTGCTTATCAATCTATATACAAACAAGTTTTTATAATCTTCGAACAAAGCAAAAATAATTTATTTGCCATAAATACTTATCGTAGTTCAATGGTAAGAATTCATTGTATAAACGTTCAATATTTGCAATCAATAATTATAGCTTAGCGCAGGTGTGCGGTGTGCATTATCAACTATCCTTCCGGGCTCTCACTCACTCTTTTTCACGCTGTTACACGCGCTCACTCTTTCACTGTATCTCTCGCTTTTCTACTTTCACACGCCCGGTTTTGGTTTAGAAACAAAATGAAGAGTTTTTTACTATCTATGGTATCATTTAACGGTTTATTGCCATGGTTGCATTTGTTTTGGCATTTTTGCAGTGTTGTTTATGTGGTCGTTGATTTGTAGACAGATTATCAGTTAGTCGATTAGATAGTATGGTGTCATAAAATTGCATTCTGTAAATATTGCATGTAGATAATAAAAATATATTTATGAAGACTTCACAGAACTTACAATTGATTAAAAATGCAGCAGATACTAAGCGAAACAACTAAAGCCATTGTAAAAGGTGGTTAATTACTAAAATTCTCGCAATAGTATTTCTAACTGTTGTGAAATACTATTAAGCTTACTTAAAATTCCTTGCTCTTTAGCTTAGGTACCATATACATAGACCAAATTAGATACTACTTATTAAATTCTTAATTCCGGGTCTTCCGGGTCCGGGTCCGGGTCTTTCCATGCATGACTAAACTATATATCAACGAGGATTCATAAAAATATCTCATCAATCACTGCCAATTAATATTTTTACATCAACAATTTCAGCTTGACTTCCAATACCGAAACCTTTTTTAAATTTTATTACTAGCAGAGTGATGTGTAGACAGCTAATAAACGTTTTTATTCAACTGAAATTTGCTTACATTTTCTCTAGTTAGTTAGTTCCAGTAATGTATGTTGCAAACCTAAACCCACTAAAGGGAATTCTCTGAATTTCAAAAAATCGGCAAATAGTTTCGGAGATATACGCATATTAGCCAGACTTTTATAACTTAGTTTAATAGGCTTTCGAAACTTTAAAGGTGCTTTTTTTGAAACGCTTAGAGTTGCTGCGGAAAATTCAACGCGTGTACAACGTTAAGGCAATGACCAGCTAGAACCCTTAAAGTTAGTAAAATGCTAGCTTTATTGAGAGCGTAGAGCTCACTAGATCTTAGAGATCAATGTTTCGGCTTGCGACATCATAATCATTAACGGTAGAAAAATGCTAGCCAAGCTCCCGCGCTGCTCCGCTATCCAGTAGTAGAACGCACTGAGACAGCGGAGTTCTGATCAACGTCAACTTTGCAGTTAAATAAGATTTCACTGTGGCCTGGTAACCGTACTTAACGTATCACAAAAAGACTCGATTCCATTGATAGTGAGGTTAGATATTCCTTAACTAGCCTTAAACGCACAGATTGTGAGTTCTACTACAAGTATGATAGTCAGTTTTAAAGATCAACCTAATTTGTTGAAATAAAATAGTTCGAAAAGTTTTTACTGTCGAAGTCTTGCTTTATCTTTTTGTTCTAAAAATTTGTCAAACTTAAGAACGCCGTTAATTCCAGGTACAATGGAGAAGTTATTAAAGTCGGATTTTAGAAATTTTTAGATTTGCAGCAAGTGTATTTTGAAATGTGTAAAGATATAAAATGCACTATGAGAGTTTCAATAGAAAATTCAATGAGAATTTCGGAGCATTAGAGAAAAAACTGCGAGATGTACGATTATATATAGTAAGAACTAGGCGTATCAAAAACCTCAACTTATTATGATAAACTTTATGACGAAATAGTTCTGCTACTTTTTATATATTTAGCGCCTTATAATATACATACACCTACACATGTGCGTTCAAATTGTTGTGAAACTAGCAAAATGTTAAAAAACTCCTTAATGAACAGTTGAAGCCAAATGCATTTGAAACTAAAGCAAAATTAACCACAACTGGTGATTTAATTATTCAGGAGCATGACAGGTGGCAATTCACTATGAAAAATGTAACAGCTGCTAAACCATTTCAAGTACGGAAATCGATAAAAAATTATTAAATCGCATACAATCCTATATATATGTACATATAAACATACCTATGCATTAAATTTGTACGTTTTCAATTCAACTTGGTTTGCTATATTTGGAGAATTCTAAATGAGATTATTTCACAACCAAATTTTCAATACATTAAAATGTGTATTTCGACTTAATAAATAATAATAAAATAAGTTCGAAGTATATTTGATCAATAAAATTTAAATAAATGAAATATTGATTTTATTTTATTAAATTGTGATGGCAACCCTTCCAAAAAATCTCCGTGAAAAAAATTTCTTGATCCTTTCTAGTTTGTTGTCAATATTTCATTTATTTCCTCAATTTATTCAAATAAGAAATTTTCACAGGTGGCAGCCCCTTTCCAAAAAAAATATTTTTTACTCATTTTTATGGTCTCTTTTAACTCATATTCTAATACGCATATTTTTAAGGACTCGCTTTTCATATAATTTTGTTTATATTGCAATTTTGAACAGTTGGCAACCCTTCCCAAATTAATTTTAACTATGATACCTCTTTTGTAATAATATATTCTGATATCTGATCATATATATAATCTAATATCTAACTCGATTAGTTATAGGTGATACAAACAACCGTTAGGTAAACAAAACTATTATACTCTGTAGCAACATGTTGCGAGAGTATAAAAAACAAATATACTGCGAGCGTGGTACTGGTGTTGTTGTTAAGGAACTTCCACTTCATAAATTTTGAATGCTCACCTTGCGGACGGGTCAGGTAGAAACACGCCTGGTGCGATCTACAAACTATAAAATATTTTGCTATTTATTTCTAGTGCATTAGATATACTGAATCACTATTATCGGCAGTGAGTCAGAATGAACACCTGGTTTTATGACAACTTGTGAATCACTTGCAATGAACAGTGTTACATTTGGGTGGTACTTTTCTGTACGACTACAATTACTATCAGTTGCCTAAATCTTAGATAACCTTAAGCGTCATACCGAAATGTACATATATGTATTGTTGCTTATTGGTTTTTTTTTTGTGGGTCTTGCTCGGATTGTAGATTTTCCGGAAATTTTACCTCAATGAGACACCCTTTTAAGAGCGTTATATATATGGTTGTTTATTGGTGGTAGCATAATATAGAAATAGTTTGATTTAGCCCAAAATTTCTCCTCTATGAGACAGACATCCTTTTAAAGTCGTCGCTGGAGACGAAAATTTATATATACAAGTATCGTCCTGAGGTATTCATAATCGACAACTGTAGCCATGAGACGGAGGAGTATCCTTTATTTGACATTTTTAATAACAATACGCCTAGAATGTTTTCGGTGGGCATTTTAGTAACTTAAATATTTTTCTATAGAATTTCTTTAATAACAATTTAAGGTGAGTCTTCGCCACATCTGTCGAATCAAAATTTTAAACCGCCTTCGATCGATAGAAATATGTACTGGTTTGTTCAACTTTCAAGTAATTACATTGTTTCGAAAATCCGTGAAAAATTTAGTCCTATATCTATAGTTTGCTTCTTGTTTGTGAACTTGTTTGTTTGTTATTAATAGAAAGGCTGAAAAGTCTAGGCTGAAAAGTCTAAAATGTAGAATTTTTTCCAGTGACTAAATATCATTCAACAGCTTCTTAATTTTTGGACTTCTTCCACCTTACCAATCCAATTTCCCTCTCAAAAATGGTTTACAGTTTTTTATTCCTCTCTCAAATTATGCAACATTTGTAGGATTCAACCACCTTCTATACGTATATAATGTAATCAGAAAAAATCGACTAAATTCTTAATTTAAAATTATTTACTACTATCTACCAGGATGGACGGAACATCAATTAACAAGTAAGAAAGGGCTAAGTTCGGATGTAACCGAACATGTTATACTCTCGCAAAGTCAAATGGTATACTCGTTTGAGATTTCTTTGTGGATTGACTGATATTTTCGGTAGAAGGTCAACTATAGGCACTGGGGTCCACATATTTAGTACTTAGGGGCTTGAACAGTTTTGATTCGATTTAGACAATTTTTGGTCACAAGTTGGCATACTTTAAACGTATTATTCACGCAAAGTTTTACCCCGATATAATCATTCTTGCTTGATTTGCATAGTGGAGAGTGAAAGAATCAAATGGAATTTAAAATGGTGTTATATGGGAAATAGGCGTGGTTGTAGTCCGATTTCGCCCACTTTCGCATTATAACTTAGAAATATGAAAAGAATGCTATGTACCGAATTTGGTTAAAATCGGTTAAGCAGATCCCAAGATATGGATTTTCACCTAAAAGTTGGCGGTGCCACGCCCACTGACTAATTTTAAACGTGGTTCCTATAAAGTCATCTCATACCATCCCAGAGATAAAATGTAATGTCTCTGGCTTGTTTCGTGCTTGATTTATCGCGCTTTTAGTAGTTTTTAACCGTACCGTTATATGGGGAGTGGGGTGGCGCCACGCCTACTTTAAAAAAAAAACTACAGATGCCCCTCCTTAATGTGATCCTGCGTACCAAATAACAGTCTTGTATCTTATTGCGGAGCTTAGTTATGGCAAGTTATTTGTTTTTGATTAATGGCGTTTTGTGGGCGTGGCAGTGGTCCGATTACGCCCATCTGCAATACCAACCGTCTTACAGTACCAAGAAACATGTCTACCAAGTTTCATAAAGATATCTTAATTTTTACTCAAGTTAGAGCTTGCACGGACGGACGGTCGGACGGACGGACGGACAGACAGTCACCCAGATTTTAACTCGTCTCTTCATCCTGATCTTTTATATATATATAACCCTATATTTAACTCGATTAGTTTTAGGTGATACAAACAACCGTTAGGTGAAGAAAACTATTATACTCTGTAGCAACAGGTTGCGAGAGTAAAAAAAGAACAGGTAGATATTCTCTGTCCTTGGAAAGCGTAGAGAAACAGTTTGGATTCACTTTGTATAATCTCTCTCGCACTCTTCAACCTATAGCCACAATGCGTTGGAAATCATAAAGAAATTCTACTGAAGATAATAATAGTAGTTTTGGAATGGGGTTTCAAGCACTTGATTTAAATTCATCACAAAATCCAAAATGTACAGGAATATGGCATGACAAAAAAGACACGTTCGTTGTAATACAATACTAGCATTTACGATTTACGGTCAGCTGATGAATTTAGTGGAAATTGTTGAACCAATTGCGCGTTAGAAAAGAACATTTGTCCCACAAGCTCCAAAGACTTGCATGTATATGCATATATGGTAAATAATGAAAGAGTAATTTATCGCCAATAAAATGAAATCCCTTGAAATATGACACATACACAAGCATATAGCTTAATTATAAGATAACGGTTAATGAACATGCAAAAAGCCCGGCCAGTTAATGTGGCCAACCATGAAACTATAATTATTTAGACAGTACTACTATACACTGGGAATATTTTCAATTTAACAAAATTATATACAATATATATATAATCGTATTAAACAAAGAAAAATATACGGGCAAAAAATATTGTCATTACAAAATCAAAAGAAATTCAAAAAACTGGCAGCTTTTGTTTCAAAGATAAATATAAAAGAAACAGAGAGAAAAATAAAAAAAGGAGGGAAAGAGGTAGAGAAAGAAATAATTTAGAGATAGTGAAAGTGAGAGAAAAAATTTAAAGATAGTGAAAGAGAGAGGGAGAGAGAGAAGAAATTTCGCAATGTCGTGTAAAAAGAAGATCGGTTCTAAAAAATTAAGGAGACCTTCGGAGGACTAAAGTTCTTGGGTTCCAAATTATTCCAGAATTGGTCTCAAAACATTTGGATCGCTTCTTGAGACTTAAAATGTAGTTGTATATTGTGTTTCATCCATAATGCTGCAAAATTTTATACTATAAAACGCAATATTAAGTATCTATTGTTATATGTAATAAATCTATTCAAACTCACAATTCTTTTTTATTTTGTGCTAAAAACAATCGATTGTTTTGTGTATAGTAATTAGCGAAGAACAAAGAAAGGTTATAAAATATGTATGTTTAATTCAATAAAATTATTTTAATCGCAAATTGTAGAAAACCAAACTGTATTCCTCTTTATCACTCTCTCACTTACTATCTATCGCTTTCTTAGGTTTTAATATCGCTTTCTTAATTTTAATAAACACATATGTACATACATACGTAAGTACAATATGTATGGTATATACTACAATAAAGACAAAGGTTTTTAATTGCTTTAAGGGTTTTCTAAGATAACAGGTGAATTTTGGTTACGGAACATTATAGAAATGGAAGGCGTTAGGTATATTTATTCAAATTCTCTTCCACGATTACTAACTTCAAATGTAAATTTATTAATAAGAATCTAAGAAATAAGCTTAAATTCTTTTGATGTGATAGTCAAGAATTTATGAAACATTTTAATAAAGACTATACTTGAACTACGCACAAGCCTCTTATTTTCTTAACATTGTAATTAACAATAAATATTTACTTGTATTGAGAATACGGTATCTGTCATTGTGTTCTCTGAAATAAAGAGTCTTTTAACATATTCAATACGGGTTGAAACAGTTTGCGATATTGTTTACAATGATATACATATTTTTATACACTAGCTGTATATACAAATAAAAGTGGCTTCAATAAATTAATTCATATGCTCGTGTATTCCTTATTTACTTGGCACTCTCCTGTGTGAACAGCTGTCAACATAAACTGAAGGTATTAAAAAAATTAATTATAAATATTGTATATACGAGTATTATATAATACATAGGTTTAATAGAGTGGAAACTACAAGCTAGCATTAAATAAATTTCGCTTTGAAATAATAGATGAGTGCTGCTCTTTTCAACGAAACTCTCTTTAAAAAGTTTGATATTTTAACACTGAACCCTATATACCCTATTGAGTTTACCACGATGTTTGTAACACCCAAAACGAAACATCAGATGCCCTGTATAGGTATATATAAATGATCACCGTGGCTGAGTCGATTTAGCCATGTTCGTCTAACTGTATATACACGAACTTGTCTCTCAATTTTAGAGATATCGATGTCAAATGTTTTACACATTCTTTTCTCCACAAGAACCTGCTTATTTGTCAGAACCGTCGATATCGGACAACTATTGCATATACCTAGCTGCCATACAAACTGACCGACCAAGTTCAAGTTCCTTGTGCGGAAAACTTTCTTCACAAGCTTTAGCACAGAATAT